TTACTTCTATGGATTTTATGAGGGGGTTTGCCCTTGACTATCATAGTCTGTGCCTATATGCTGCTGCCTATGTAGAAAACAGATGTCACATTTTCCTTTAAACCTGTGTGGCAATTGTTGTTCTAGTTCTACAGAACTAATAAAAGATGTGCTATGTATTTCTGCTCATTCCCTAAGCAACTTTAAATCACCTTGATATAAATGTAAGAACATAAGTAGTTCAATTGCTGTCTTATTTTGCCAGCTGTGTCAGCTTGTGCTTGGTAGGACATACATGAATAGCTGGGCAATTTTGTCTGGCCCTTTGTTTTTTTCTTTTCAATAGGCACATTTCATAAGTTCAATACTATCACTTGTTTTACTGGACTTTGGAGGTCTGAGTGGCTGTTTTCACAAACAGAATTCTAGATTGGGCAGGAAAGTTGGAGGCCAAGAAGAATGAGTTAGAGGGAATGGGGGAAAATATGAACTCAATACCTTTAATTTACAGTAATGCTGTCATTCTTTTAAATATTCTTTGATCTAGCGATTTTTGATGTAATTTTAAATATGTCTTTACAAGTTCATTTTTAAAGCATATTCATTTAAGTTTTTTTTCCTGCAGTTCTGTTACAAAGTGTAGCTGGTTTTGCTTGAATGTCACTACAGCCACAAGACATTGAAATCTGCATTGTCAGATGGCAGCCAACAGCTGTGCATGCCAAGTGGAGATCCTTCTCTATTGTTTCCTAGCTTAGACCTTTCTGATCTCATTTCTGTGAAGATCAGCTCAGTGGAGATAGTATAAAGGAGTTTTAAAAACTTTTAAAACTCTCTTTATTTTTACCATTTGGCTTGTTTCCATGGAAATGGGATCTGTAAGACTGTCAGTAGCAAACAGCTGAAAGTGGGTGATTTCATTAGATGACTCTCAACTGAGATCTGCAAATACTAATGACCAAAATGTGTAAAAAACCATTTAGAAAAATGAAACAAGGACCAACTAAAATACTAGATCTGCTTTCTTTTTATCATCATGGGATATGATAAATAGGGAAGTGCTTAGTTAAATGTTGTTATATGAATGTGAGTTGCATGGACATACAACTGTCTTCAGACTGTTTTTTCTCAGATAGCAGCAACTAACAAACATGGCCCATCCCTTTTACAGGATGGACTTTTTACCTGTTCCATCATGGGCAATGAGGGATACACATCAGAAAATTGCATTGCTACAGTTCAGGTTCACTGAATTTTCAAATGTCAGCCTATGTTTCTGTGTAAGAACTAGTTGACAACTCCATCTACCTTGCTGAAACCAACAGAGTAAGCCACATCTCTGTAGCATGAACCTTACCTATTTTGTTCCTTAGCTTAGAATGTAAATCTTTCTTCTGTTGCCAGATAGGTAATAAGACTTACTACCATTGTGGATTTGCCTTTTACAGATGTATTTTCTTAGCAGGCAGTAAAATGCAGAATGGCTGAAGTCAGCAGATTTAGTTCCCTAGTCTCTTGTCCCATATTTTTTTTCAGGCACAGCTTTTTCCTTTAGTTCTCTGCATGGAAAGACAGTGTTCATCTCTATGTGTTTTGCTCAACAACAAATGATTTGTGTAGAGTATTTTACCCAGGGATCCTACGATATACTTAATATCCAAATGTGTTGATGCTATCTGCCACAACCTTTTCTTATTCAGGAGTGAGCTAAGATGCACTGGTTAGGTACGTGTAAGTGCAGAACCCTTCATTTTTAGAGAATTAGCATTTAAGTAAAAGAATAAGGAGAAAAAGGTGGGAGAACTTTGTAGTTTAGGATACAAATGCAGCAAAATTTGCTAGAGCAGATGACCTGTTCCATGAACTGCTGAGTGAGGGCCTAAGTAACCAGTGTCCGTACCTTGTTCTTAAAATGATGTAAAATGTCAGTAAAAAACGAATCTTGAGCGGTGCAAGATTGTAAAATTGCCATCCAAGGTTACCAAACTGCTGCTAGGTTCAGTGCCTCAATAACTATTATCTGAGATTAAGAACCCACTATTAATCCATCAATCAGTGTGACAACTTGTGGGAGAGGTGTGTTTCACTGTGTGTGAAGGTACCTAGATATTGGCTCATTATGAAATAGGCATTTGCAATTGCTTGATATAGCTACTCCTCCTAATTGGAGCAGTTTCCTACAGTAAAATTTGACATATAAATAAAATATTGTTATCAATTCTTCAAGTGTGAATAGGGCTGCTGTTCAACAGTGAGAATCTACTAAATTGTGCTTCTGCCAGCTTTTGTACATGTCAGGTTTGCTATTCTTGGGGGAGCCACCACATTCTCATGCAGACATCACCAATGAGATGATTTTGTTTGCTTGGTTTTTGATGTTTCATTGAAAAATAACTTCACACAAGTAAAATTTTTACAAATACGTATAATTTAATTAATTAGAAGCCATAATATGAAATACACCAAAAAGACCAGTGTGTATTATTTAAGTTGCTTGGCTTTTTGTTGTCTGCACTGAATTTAGCAATTTTCCTGACTGTTCTTGTTAGAAGAGAAATACATCACTTAAGTAAAATTAAAAGCAGATTGTATTTCATGCAGGAAGAATGTGTCCTTGTCAGACACTATCACAGATTGGGTTCTCTCAGACTTTCAGTAAATTAAAATGACATTTTGGGATGGTGGTGTTCACCTTGTTTGCACTCAGTATCTGGGGTTAGTAATTAAGAGCACATGCCAACAGACTCATGATATTAATAACAATACCTTATACCGCATGTCCCAGTGCTGCGGATAGGTTGAAATGGTCAATGTTAACCTTGTTTGAAATATTTTCTATGTATGATATTTAGACTACTACTTCTATTAAACAATTTTGCAAATGCCTTTTAAGTATTTTTCCTGCCCAGTGGGTGAATGCCTATAAATTGGGAGAGGTCTGCAAGCTATCTGGGAACACAGTGGAAAGGCACAGGCATGGAGCAAGCAAGATCTGCTTTGAGTGAACAAAGGCACTGTCCATGTTTGATCAATCCATCTTGTTTTATCCTTTGAAACCAGTTATTGAAATGCTGAGCCTTTACTTTCCTATGAAAGGAATAGATTTATATTATTAACTACACAGTTAACTGCTGACTTTGGGGCTTTAATTTCTAAGTTCAAATTGAGATTTTGATTCAGAGTCAAAATAGAAATATTTCTGGAGAGAATCTCCTGGTAAGGGAGGATATGTTGGATATTCTATTTTTAATATTTTTAAGAGACAGGAGTATGTTGAGGCTTTTTTGTTTCAAGCTAGTTTACACTAATTCTGAAAACTGTTCTATGTTTTAAAAACTGCATTGTTTTTAAACCACCCACCTACTCTTTAATTCTGGGTCTTGGTGTGGTGGGGTTTTGTTTGGGGTTTTTTTGAGTTTTGGGGGTTTTCTTATTCTTTTTGAAACCTCTCTAGAGCATGTAACCTATCTTCCTTTTAATGTGACTTGATCCAAAATAAATGTAGAAAACCTGTTTATTATCTAAATCTACATTGTGGCTATATTTCTGTATAACGTATTTGTGTAATAATGCTGAAATGTGATATAAGAAGAATCCTCAAAACTGATGGCCTGTAAAGGCCTTCATCTACCTTATTTTTCTGCATAGTTCCCAGGTGCATGCTGCAGTGACCGGGAATTCCAGTCCTCTGATTGCATCTGGCAGCACTTAAATTCTTTTTCAATATGAATTCCATAACTATTTGAATTCAGAGTTTTCAGGTTAATGAAGTCACAGTTTCCATAGGTGGAATAATAGTTGTTTGTTGTTCTTTTTGTTGTTGTTTTAGATTTTTTCTGCTGCTTTTACTGTGATGTGTCAGTACATTTAAAAGCCATGCTAAGGCTTTTGATGTGACGCAATATTTTTGGATACAAACCTCTAACTGGTTCTGTGTTTTGGTAAGAAAACATCTGTATCAAATGCTACGTGGATACTATGAGTTCTGAGTGGAAAGTTGACTCAATTATATTTAAGCTATTTTGGGGATGTTGGTAATATTTTGGAGTAGCTGATTGTGTAATATGTTAGGCATTTGGTAAGCCTTTGATAGGTAGCACATTGATAATTTTTTCAAAGATTCTGGGGTTGGTTATATTTGTTTGGGGTTTTGTTTTGTTTTGTTTTGTTGGGTTTTTTTTGAGAGAGCCTCTATTCAGGAGTTTCCACCAGAATTTGAGAATATTTTTGTGAAGTTGCTGTAATGTAAAACCTGTGGCGAGAAAGTGAGAAGAAAAATATTCCTCCTTAGCCTTCAAACTCTAAGAAAGAGAATTTGTAAAGGGGACAACAACAGTGTGATGCCTGACACAGTTGGGTTTTGGTCTGTTGTTTTCTTTGGTTGGTTTTTGTATGGGTTTTTTTTTTAAACTGGAAATAAGTAGAATACAGATCCTGTGGAGCCAGAAACGCAACAGCTCTATACAATGTTAAATCTTTCTAGGGCAATTGTGTAAACCAGGACAGCCTACACAAAATGCTATAGACCCACCAAGTCAGAGTGGCTGCATCCCAGCTGCAAATGTTGCAGGTGCTAGGCCAGTGCCATGTGTCTGAGCTGTGGAAATGGCTTGGAGGACTTCTAGAGAGCCATGCCACCGGCACACCAAACAGGAATGTTCTAGCAATTTTTTGCAGCATAGATGATTGAGTGACATGCCCCAGAATGTTCTCAGGCTTAATAAATTTGCTAATATATATGTGGCCAGTATTTTCTTCTTTACCGAGCCCCATTTTTTTAATGTATCTATTTGATAGGCATTTATCTAGCGTTTCTGAAATAAAACTTGTGTATTGTTCTGCAGTTTGTACCTGCTTTTAACTACTCTCTTTCCAGTAAACTCTTAGGAAATAATTATTCCTATTCAAGCCATAGGTGTATATACATGAGGCACATGTGTGTGTATGCATGGGCTCTGTGTGTATGCATATGCATAATACATATTTTTCTGAGTTTTCAAACAATTTTATCTTCTTTTCAGTGGGATGCCATAACTGAAATGGATGAACACAATCGTCCCATTCATACTTACCAGGTATGTAATGTGATGGAACCAAACCAAAACAACTGGCTTCAAACAAACTGGATTTCTCGTGATGCTGCGCAGAAAATCTATGTGGAAATGAAGTTTACCCTGAGGGACTGCAACAGTATTCCATGGGTACTGGGAACCTGCAAGGAAACTTTCAATCTCTACTACATGGAGTCAGATGAGTCTCATGGAGTAAAATTCAAACCAAACCAGTACACTAAAATTGATACTATAGCAGCTGATGAGAGCTTTACCCAGATGGACTTGGGTGACCGCATTCTTAAACTCAACACAGAAGTTCGTGAAGTTGGGCCAATAAACAAGAAAGGATTTTATCTTGCTTTTCAGGACATTGGAGCATGCATTGCTTTGGTTTCAGTCCGTGTTTATTACAAAAAGTGCCCTTTCACAGTCCGTAATTTGGCTATGTTTCCTGATACGATTCCAAGGGTGGATTCTTCCTCTTTGGTGGAAGTACGGGGCTCCTGTGTGAAGAGCGCTGAGGAACGCGATACTCCGAAATTGTATTGTGGAGCAGATGGGGATTGGCTCGTGCCTCTAGGACGGTGCATCTGCAGTGTAGGATATGAAGAACTGGATGGCTCTTGCCATGGTAAGAAAATATTATTTGATTATTATTTTCTTTTATTTTAAAAATTGGAAAAAAGTCTCTTATGTACTTTGTAGGCTCTCTTCTATTGTCCATCATAGTTTCAAAGTGTCTTGGGTTGGTTTTATCCATAGCAATGATTGTAAAGAAAGCCTCAGTAGCCACTGAGGTACCAGTCTGCTGTGATTCAGCATTTGCTTTGTAGCAGAGTCCATATCTGTAAGTTACACAGTGACATTGCTGTTTTGCTCAACAGTTTCTCAAGTTTGATGGTATTAGGCAAGCTGTACAGCAACCTTGGATAATACAGAGCATTAAAAGCACTATGAATTGTAATTAGAAAATGAAATTCACTTTGTTGCCTGGTCTTGCTGGCATTATCAAAATATACTCATTGCAAAGATACAATGTTGACAATGCCATTACTGGAAGCAAGTACAATTTTTTACAGAAGGTCGAAAGGTTTCTCTCTTAATAGGATAAGGATTTCCTATGACACTTGAATGCTGAATGAATTTCTGTCCATTATGAGAATGAGTCATACTCTAAAACTGTACATGAGCAATATAGCCAGCAACCAAAGTCCACAAAAGTCTTATGCTGTACTTCACTAGTTTATTCAATTGGCAGTCCAGTCTGCTGCTGAACAGGTACCATCTAAATGAACCAGAGTACCCAAAGTTATGACTGTTTGCATATTCTTATCTGTTTGCCCCAAAAGTAACAAATTACTGTGTTTAGAAAATTGCTATCTAATAGAGCTTCCATACATTTTGAAATCATTTTCATAGATGCCTGATGTTGTCCACGTAGACTTCTTCAATGTGTTTTAATATTAGTGCTACTTTTTTCTGACCATTTTTTGACGTGTATTTGTCTTCTTTCCTTCATGAATATCATGCCTGAGATGAACATAAATGCACAAGATGCTTTTGTAACTGAAAAGCAACAATTTAATTTCACTAGTGCCCACTCTCCAGTGTCTAAACCATGAGTAGAAAGGTTACTGTCAGGGTGGCCAAGTTTCCCTTTGTGCCAAAGCTTGTGTGGAGATGCACAGTTGGACAGCTGGGAATGCATTTTTACAATGGGATGGTTGAGTGTTGTGAACTGAACTGAGATCACTGATAGCAATATTTTAGACAGTCATAATGTCCTATATTGAGGCTTTGCTTCTTGTCTGAGACACGAATCAGAAATTTAGAGTCTAAAAGATTTGTTGCTTGTTAGCAAATCCTGAACTAACTCTTTAATACACATTAAATCGTAAAATACCTGAGCATTGCTACCTCTCTAAGGGAAAATTTTTTACATTTACAGTTAGCTTGTTTTCATAGAAGCAGCAGGATGGGGACTAGGTGGGGGAAGAGTAAAAATCACTATATCTTAGTCTGATTAAGAAGATCTGAGATATATTTATACAATTTTCATATCTTATGGGTCCCTCCCCCAAATCCCAACCTAAAGCTCTTTTGTCCTCCCATTCCCTTGCTGAAGTTGCAAATCTGAGTGTTGAAAGTATTTTACACCGTTGTGTTGGTGTTTCTTGTGGGTATACTCTGTGATATACTCCAGACATAACTATTTCTTTCTTCTGCATGAAAATAACAGTCAAAATCATAATTTTGCATCTTGAAGTCTGTTCTGTCAAGTAACTGGGAGTTGGGCAATACTTGCAAATAGTTGAATATTATTTCCTGCTTGCAAATGGTGTCAAACTTTTTATACACCAGCATGTGACTCAGTGGGGAATAAGCAATTCATGGCAAATATGGCCTATCTGTCACAGAATTTAAAAAGTAAATTTCTATTCTGATATTTGTTGAGATATGCAGTCCCTACTCAGAAAGTACTACATGGCATAAGGAAAGATATTCTGCCTTTATGTATAATTTTGTAAAGCAGCAAGAATGGGAATAAAATCAGTCTTTGATCAGTTTTACTGCTGCTGTTAAAATCATAGGTTATTTTCAACCACCAAAATCTCGTTTACTTGCTTCCCTGACTGGCAACATTTCAGTTATTTCAATATATGTTGGTTTTATGTGCATCTCTCTTTGTCTGTGAATCCATTGGTATTATCTCTCCATTGTATTTTCTTTTAAAAGCATCGTTTCGGAGTGAAAGTGTCTGAGAAGAATTCCCAACTGAAATAAAATACCCATACTTATTAAGTGTATACTCCAATGTGTCTAGAACAGTTCAGAGGTATATTGATAGAGTTTTTCATTAATTTGGGACTGTCTTCCTTTTCTAAAGTCAGTGGGGGGAAAAGTCAACGTTGATTGCAAGAGGTTTGCAGGTATTTGTGTGTTATGTACATTTCTTAATGAGATAACCTGAAAAAATACTGTCTTCTCTAAACTTACTATGTAAACAGCTATCAATCTTTGATTCGAATCTACTTTCACTATTTTCCCCTCAAAATCCTGAAACAGCTGCAGCATTCGCATGTTCTTCTGTTTCTTTAGGCATTAATAAATAAATTAGCACCAATAATTTGGTTATGCAAATCATAAATGGCTCCAACATGAACTGCTTGCTTTGCTAAATCATTGATACCAGCCCCATTAACAAGTTACAGCATAGAAGGGGTAGAAGGTAGTTTGGGGGTTTTTTACACAGGAACAAACAATCACGACAGTGAACACTATATAAACTTAATTGTAATGGTTCAGTTCTGCTTGGGCATGATATAGAAATAATTGGATGACTGTTAGCTGAAATGTGATTCTTTAATCATTTACCAAAAATTATCTGAATTACTCAAAGTTAGCAATTAATTGCAGAGAAAAATTCAATTATATATAGCAAATACTAATTATTATATTAAATTTCAGAATTTATTTTAGCCTTAATCAAACACAATACAGAAGTGTATTTTAACTATAAAAAATTGATTGTTCTTGAGGAATATTCTCAGGAACACACCACCCTCGAAGGTTGTTGTTTGATACAGTTGAAAAAAAATTAAAATGTAAAACAGCAGGCATTTGACAGACTCACATGGTTTATTTTAATTTAAACAAATACAATAAGAAGTGGGAATGTTAAATTCCAATTCTTGGACCTTGAGCTGACTGAGCAACACTTCCTAGGGATAGCAATGCCTGAACATATTGAGTTTTTAATTGAACAAACATTTCTTTCCATTATTCATTACTTGAATTTTTGGTAATATTTCAGTGTTGGGATTGCTGCCTTGGCAGTCTGTCTTCTTCAGCCCTTTCATCTGATTCAATTAGTATTTTCTAATGAACTAATCTCCTCCTCATAGAGGTACATATAGCATGTCTTTGTTATTGTGAACCAAGCAGTTAATATTATAGTCATGCTGTTACTTGTATGCTGGCATCAAAATAGGAAAAGGGGGGGAAGCATACATTGGAACTGCAAGTTTAATAGTTACAGAGATACACTACTGTGTAAGGTTCCTTTTGGTTTTTCTTCCATGTGTTTCTTTACTCATGAGATCTAATCTTCTTTGCCAGCCCATAGGCACTGAAGGAGGATTTGTAAAGGAAAAGCATAGAAATATTTAGGCTACAAAAAAAGAGGATAAAATAAGATTAAATTTTAAATAATGGAAGGCTGCAAATTGTCTTCTTAAGAGAAAACCTTTCCACTCCAGAGATTCCCTCCTGCACCAGAGCTGGGATCGTTCTCTTGTGCTGGAGTAGCTCCCTATAAGTTTCAGGGTGTAGAATTTCAAACTTCTAATTCCTCCCAACTCTTTTTTGGGTATCCAGAGACAGGAATTTTCAGAGAGGCTGAAAGAGTAGAGGACTGAGATGATCCACTGACTGTTTTCAAGACAGGTGCCGAAAGTCCTGGGACAACCTGCAGCTGCATGTCTGTATGAGCTGATACAATCTGTATTCTTGACCACTCCAGGTAATTTTCTTGCAGACGGATCTTGCTTTCAGGGCTGTTAAGTATCCTTTTCCTCTCTATATATAGGGCAATCAAGTAGGAAGGTCGATAATACACCTTTACAATTTTAAATAAAAAATGTGATTGAACTCTCATTTCTCCCCCAAATTGAAGCTTTTCACTTTTCTTTTTATGATATCAATTTCCTCCTTTCAACTGAAACCTTAAGTGAAACTTAAGTGACCCTCCCTCCAAGATCATGTGTGCATCAACTGGCAGAAAGCCAGTGACAATTTGTGAAGGATCAGGAGGGGAGATAGGTGAGAGCACATGTAGAGGTGACATCAGAGGTAGCATGAAGAAGTGGTTAGGTATGGTCATATACCCATCAGTGTTGACTTCCATGGTTGTTATTCACTATCCTTTGTTTCTTCTGTGCCATTACATGTTGTGTTTTGTTTAGCAAGAATCCCTTGACCGCTTTCCAGAGAGCAGGGAGGATTTTTTTTTTTCAGTAAACAGTCATACCATTTATAGAAGTTTATACAAATTCTTAAATATGTGACTGCTCTGAAAGTGAATCACTTTTTTCCTGTATTTAAGCAATGATGGCCTAAAGAGCTTTTGACTTCTTAATTTCAATTATAATATTCAAGACCCTTGTGATTCTTGGTGATATGTATTTTCCACGGAAAAACCTACTTTTTAGCCTATGTAAGGCTACACAACATCTGTGAACACTCAACACATATTTTAGCTTGGAACTCTGAATATGGTTAAAATGGCATTGTCATTGGACAATTCTAAATTCACTTTTTAGGCTGAACTGCTAAATAGATGTTTTTAGTACAGTCTAAGAGCATGAGTTGTGGATAACAGCAGATCTGTAGGTAACAGTATAGAAAAGCAATTACTAGTGACCTGTTCAAAGCATCTGAATATATTTAACCCCATCTAACTGATAGCATGTAAAAAAATCTGAACTCAAGAACTATATACATTTGAAAAGAATATTTATTTACAGTAGACAAAAATTTAAATTATTATCTGTTGTGAAGGGATATTGCAGATGCTACTAGAAGTACTTTTCTATTCATATATGCTGTTTTTAATTTCTAAATACCAAGTCATG